TAACCTTTGATTTATTTAGTTTTGTAGCCTGTTTTGCCCTAGTACTGGACAATCAGTGAATTATAAATGGCCAAACAGTCACTCTGGTTGTAAAGAACTAAGTGCCTTTTCTCTCACTAACTGCTCTTTGCACTGTTTATATTACTGTTGGGTTCTTTAACTACTAATATTACTGCATTGCTGTGGTGTGTGGGGTTAATATGCTTGGGGTGTAATGTAATCACACTGATATAACTTCTCTCTCCATTCATTTTGGGCTACTTCCTGCTGCGCTTGCTAATACAGCAGCCATAGAAGCAAAGGAGGGTCGAGGTACGCTGGCAGTACTGTGTCATATCCTGCCCCTATATGCTGTGCTTTCTTCCCCTTTGTGTCTTTTTGTGCCTTGCCGTTCACCTCAGTGTCTGTCTGTGTGTCTCAAACGAATCATGGAAAATCTGTATTCTTGCACCACCATATTTTTGTGAATTTAATTGAAAGCAGCCTAACAAAGCGGTTCTCGTTTCATAAAGGCATTTCTTTCCCTTATGAGATTCAGCTTTTACAAAAGAGCCTGAAATTACTCCGGGCCAACATTTTTAATGATAAATGATGGATGCGGACACTTGAAACCGTCCATGCAGTGAGGGAATGAGGCTTTCAGTCCCAGCTCTGCTTCACCTCGTTAATTAGCTGTTTCCTGTTGACCAGAGGAGTTTGCTGGTTAGTCCCGGGCCCTGGCTAGGGCCTGCTAATTCCCATCCTGCCATGCGATTGGCGGAGAGGCCGAGACCTCCCTCTGACAAGCATTTTCAGATTCTAATCTCATTAGGACTCTGTACTCCAAAGACTGTCTGTTCCCATTCATGCGTAACACTCTTGCCTAAGGCCTCTCGCATGCTGCTGTAATGTACAGAGGCTCTAAGCTATTGTGCAAGCAAATACAAATAAACACGCTGGCATGAAATGTTAAGTGTGCCAGAGCAAGACACTCTTGCTGTTGAGTTGCTGACCTGATTAAGTTCAGCAGCATCTCTGTTTTTACTGGTGTTGAGTGGGTATCTTGTGTTTGCTCTGTCAACTGGAACCGGTCATGATTCACCTTGGCAGTGTTTTCAAAAATGCTATAGGATATAATAAGCCTGTTAGTTGTGCAAGAATCAGCTTTCCTGTTTGTGCATGTTGGTTGGTTGGATACGTGTTCAACTCTTTTTGTGGTTAAAAGTATGAGTGATATGTGACGTCATGTTCCATCAGAATATTAAAATGAACTGGCACTCAATCACATTTTTTCAGTGCTGTAAATAATATACTCAGTCCCAATTGACACTTTTTTTTCTCTGTTTTTGCACAATAGAAAAAAAAATATTTAAAATGTTACATATGACCTGATTTTTTTTTTAAACGTAAAAGGGGTTTGTTCTGATATTTATATACATTTTGATATATTTTACTGCATCTCATAATTGTAAAATTGCAGTTGTTGCCACCATCTGTTTTCTATTTGCGTAGACCGTTGTTTGTGTTTACTGTTATGTTTTTTTTTTTTAATGTTCTATTTCCTGTAGCAGAAAATTGCTATATTAATTTACTAGACATACTGTACACTACTGTTGAAAAGTCTGGCATCAGTAAGATTTTTTCTTTTTTGAAAGTAATACTTTAACAAAGATGCATTAAAATTGATCAAAAGTGGCGGTAAAGACATTTAAGTTAATAAAGATTTCTATTTCAAATAAATTCTGTACGTTTGACTTTTCAATTCATAAAAAAATGAATTGAAAGGTCACCAAATCAGCATTTTCGAAGGTGTGACACTGAAGACTGGAGTAATGGCGTGACAGCAGTTAATTACATTTTAACATATAATAAAATTGAGTTATTTTAAATTATAATAATATTTCACAAAATTACTGTTTTGATGATTTTTAATCAAATAAATGCAGCCTTGGTGAGCATAAGATACTTAAAAACATTTTAAAAAAAATCTTACCAGTCCCAAACATTTGAACTGTAGTGTACACAGCAAGACATGAGGTAGACAGTTGGTGTTGTGTATCATGTGACATGAATGTTTGATTTTAAAAATGTAGTAGCTCCACAGTTGCATTTACTTCATGGTTAAAGGGTTAGTTCACCCAAAAATGAAAATTAGTCTGTGGTTTACTCACCCCGAGTCATCATAGGTGTATATGACTTTCTTCTTCGTTATATTAAAAATTGTCCTGGCTATTCCAAGCTCTATCATTGCAGTCAGCGGGTGTTGCAGTGCTTCAGTCCAAAAGAAGTAAAATAAAAAGCGCCCATCCATAAAAAAAATTTTCACACGGCTCTGGGGGGTGAACAAAGGCCTCCTGTAGCGAATCGATGCATTTTTGTAAGAGAAATAACCATATTTAAAACGTAATAATCACTTTAATCTAGCTTGCGCCAACAGATGTACACGGAAGCAGCTCCGGGCGGATGACGTACGAGTTCAGCTTTGTGCATGTGCCACTCAGAAGTGACAAACGCGGAAGCGCAGGGGAGAGATCAAAACAAAACAACGGTCACTAATTAGAAGTACAAAACAAGGATTTGTAAAGAAGAATGTCGGAGGATTTCGATATAAGCCAAGAGGAGACTGGTTTTCCTTTGCTAAAGTAAGGAAACTTTGCTTCCTTTGCTCCTGTTAACAAACGTTGGTTTTCACGAGACTCACCGGTGCATGCGCAACGCTGAACTCATACGTCATCAGCCCGGAACTGCTTCTGTTTACAACTGCTGGCGCAAGCTACATTACAGTGATTATTACATTTTGAATATGGATTTTTTTTCTTACAAAAACGCATTGATTCGCTACAGGAGGCTTTTGTTCACCCCCCAAAGCCGTGTGACACTTTTATTTCACTTCTTTTAGACTGAAGCAATGCAACACCCGCTGACTGCAATGATAGAGCTTGGAATAGCCAGGACAATTTTTAATATAACTCCGACTGGATTTGTCTGAAAGAAGAAAGTCATATAAACCTAGGATGCCTCGGGGGTGAGTAAAACACAGCCTAATTTTCGGGTGAACTAACCCTTTAAATCATTCGAGGAATAGACTTTTTGGTCACTGCAAATGCCCAAAGGTTAACTTATTTCAGTAAATGGCATATTGTAAGCTAGCACAGCTTGATCATTGTCTCATTTTTTTACTTTTTTTTTTTTTTTAAACTGAACACTGAAAGTTATCAATAATCTTCATGCACATTTTGCTAACTACCTCATTTTCCTTGATTTAAATTTTTTTTCCCCCCGGTAGCCATCCAAGGCTTCTCTCCTACACGGAAAATCCGCAACTTCGAAGAAGCTCGTGGCCTGGACCGAATAAACGAACGGATGCCTCCTCGGAAGGACGGCCAGCAACCTGACGGTACCACAGTTAACGCTGCCAACGAGAAAAACGGCACTGATGGGAATGTGTAAGGGGAGATTTTGCACTCTTCCTCTGCTCCATAGCATTTTCTCTTTCTCTGCCACGTTCTCCACAAGATAGACCCCTCAACTGCCGGATCCTGCAGAGGAGGGCCTGAGATGTGGAGAGGAATCATTCCACAAGACAGAGAGAGAAATCACTTACAACTAAGTACAAACATGAGATTTTATTTATTAAATGAAATGTATTAGATGTACTAGATAGCAACATTTTAAAGACGAGTGAACATTTGAAAGTGTGCAAAAAACAGGTATACAGTCACAGTGTGTCAACCTTTAAACTTCAACTACAGTTTTGTAACTCGAGAACAGAGATGTGGGTTCAAGATGGTGTTCAGATCAGAAGAATTAATCCCAGTTTTATAATATTTTATGTCACAATGTATTTGGCAAGGGATGGTTTGAATATACTGATGTATGTTATCAATAAATGTCTGTAAGGGATTTATTAAGACAAACCAAACTTAAGGGGAATAAGTTATACTGAAAGTTCATCGAAACATATTTTATATAACTGTTTAATAATATTCAGTTTCAAGTAAGATTCAGACTAAATGAACATATTAGCTGCTTTGGGTTCCACATGTCTATTTCTACGTGGAAAAACTAGCATTTATATTAATTTTTGTCCGATTACAGCCAGATGACACACCACATGTAAGTAGCCATAACATTGATCTTAAATAGGAGTTGCTTGATTCTACTTGCATGAGTGAAAAAAGCAAAAACAAAGCATGTCTTTTGAAAGCACTGTCACAATCACATAATCTAACGTCTGCATCTGTACTGGAAGTTATTTTAGTCTCTTTAGAACTATCATTGGGCGAACTTTCAGACAAGACTTACTTTTCCTCATTTCATGTCTGCCACACTTATCTTATTGCTGTTTTTTCAAAAAGATGATAGATGAGATTGCCACGCAACAAACCAGTTTTATTTGTTAATATATACAGTGAAATTTGTTAGCATGCCTATAAGCTCATGTACACGTGTAACAGCCAATGTGGGACGTGTGAAGTTGTTTTGATCGACTCGAAAGCCAGTCTTTTTTGTGCTGTGATGAGTTCGCTGCCAGAGCTCTAACCAACCCCATTTTAGGGTATGATGAGGAGGTAATGGGGTCAGTCTGAAGAATATTGCACTAAATGCAAGTCATTGTAAATAGAGAACACCTATACGTAACACGTCAAAAGCAGGAAGTCCTATTCTCTCTAAAGAATGTCCTCCAGGCTTAATGCAAAGTATTCATCTTTCACTGAGAGACTGCTCGTACAGACTATCGATTTCATCCAGTTTTTGCTCGAGACATTAACAAAGCATGCTGAGCTTGATAAATGTGTCACAAACTGACTTGGTGGTTTGAGCTGTAACACTATGTGAGGTATTGTGGTAAGGTTTTTACATGGCTGCTTGTTTTAACAGGTTTAGGGAAAATTGTGGTATGTGTCCACCTACTGTTGAGATACAGATACAGAACTTTATGGAGGAAGAGCATTAAGCCTTTTAATGCATGTTTTTATTCATTTTAACAGGAGCAGCAGGTTTTGATTTTTTGATTTTGCGATGGTGTTAAATGCTATGCACGAGCAACACACCCCATTTTCTGGAAGCATTTGAAATGTACATTTTAGACATCAGTTAATTTTGTAAAATGTTTTTGTGTGTTTATTTTATTTTTTAAATACAGAACCAGTTCTTCACACGAGATTGATTTAAAAGAGTTCATTATTTCATCCCAAAAGCATGCAAATCTAATAATATGACTATGTCATGCTCAGCTTTGTGTATCAGCTTTTATGAGAAATCAATATGTGATTGCAGTGCGACCTTCCGGCATACAGCATTTCCTGAAGCGTGTATGTGTGTGTTTTGCATGATCAAATCAGTGCAGTATGTCTGTGGACTCCAAAGGGAAAATGTTCTACATTTATTTGCATGTATTTCAAATGATACCAATGGAAGTACTGAGATGAGATTAAGCAGCTTGTCTGGGATCAGGTATACAGTTTTCCTTGAATGGTTTAACAGCGTGTGGGCTGGTCTTGGTGTACTGGCAACCTGAACTTCTTTAGTGGAAGAAAGAGGAAGTTTGAATCTATTAAGTTTCTGTGTGCAATGAAATGTTGAGTATTAGGCCTTCACAGGCTCAGAGATTCAATGAGGTCCCTGAAACACATCTGTGGGAATGTGTAGAAATGTTGATGCACAACTATAGCATCATTAAAAATACAATATGGGGATTTAATTGAACAACCATTTTATCAAGTGCTTGTAATGCGAGGCCACCAGAAATTCTTGATATTATGTAGATGTATCAGTTAAGACAACAAATAAAAACTGAAATACTGTGGACCTCATGTTTGGTCATATTTTGTCTTTTAAAATCAGTCACCTGAATGTGATTCAACATTAAAATATATTTCATTCATACATTCACATTGCATTTTACAAGTTTTCATAAATACAAAACTAAATGGTAAACACACAAAAAATTATGTTTTAAGCATTTTTGTTTGATATCTCTTGAAAGCGCATTGTAACAATTTTAAAATATATATATGTTAAAAAAGAACAGTTGTTTTCACCTTGGTTGACATTGCAATGAAGAAATAGCTGATCAAAAATCATAAAAAATCTACTGTACATAAGGCAGGCTCAATTACACAGAAACAGACTGTACAAATAAAATGAAATTTAAAAAAAGAGATCATTTTCAGTTAAAAACAAACCTGACTTCAAATTCATTAACGCAAGGACAATTTTTTACACAGTCAAATTATAACTCCGTGTGTCAGTCTCATATTTATGCTAAGCATGTGGCTTATTTTCACAGACATTAGATTTTTCTTGAAGGGTTTACTAAGCCTCAGTCTCCTAACACTTCTGCAGGTTCTGGAGTGACTGACCATTCCAATCTGCTGCATGGTTCCACTTCTTGAGGTTTGACAGGTGCTAGACATCACACCCTTGGAGGAGGTGGTCTAAGAGCCTATGAGGGGGAGAATTATAAACTTGTCAGATATAATCTTTTTTATCAAAATGTTCTTAGGCTCAGTGACTGGGAGCATAAAGGTATAGTACACCCAAAATTCTGCCCATATTCAGTTCTTCCTAGTTTTTATAGCAGAATATAATACAGTGAATGGTGACCAATGCTGTTGAGCAACATTTTTAAGGCAAACATTTGTCAATAAATTCAATTTTAAATAGAGTACACATTTAGTTTAATTTAGTGAAAATTGTTTCTACACCAATTGTTTTTTATTCACACACAGATATTGCACTTCTTCAGTAGATGTTGAATATTACACAAGTCACATGGACTGCATCTACTTTCAAGAGCAGCACGAATGCTAAACGTTTGGATTCCGCAGAAGCAAGTAAGTCATAATTGGTTTGAAACAACATGAGAGTGAGTAAATGATGACAGAATTTTCATTTTGGGCTGAGCTATTCCTTTAAATACTGATGTGAACATCAGTCATTACACATTATATAGAGTTAGCTTTGCTACCTGCCGTGCATTTATAAAGTCATTATGTAGAACTCTGGATTGGACTGAAGAGGGTGGAGGTGGAGGAGGTGCTGTAGGCCTTATTGCCTAAGAATAAAGAAGAGATCACAAAGTCCTGATCACACTTTCACCATTCACTGGGAATAGATTATGTTTGTGGTTAAATGAAATGATGAAATGATGTGACTGCAAGTTACCGGAGATGGCTTCTGATTTGGTATCGACTGAAGGCTGTAGTCAGGGATGTCGACTACATGAACTTGCTGCAGCCTTGGATGGCTATTGAGAAAACAGCAGTATTAAATACACTCCATTTATTGACTTTCCCCAGTGTTTAAGTGTTGGTTTCCTATAGTCTTACCGGAATGAATGTGGTGTGCTCTTTCTGCGCTTGTAAAAGAAGGCGGCCAGTCCAAATAGAAGTATCCCAATCAGGACACAGACAACCACAGCAATGGCTATTTTCACACCTTGAAATGCAAAGGCAAAGGCAAAAAAAAAATCTCATTCATGATCCTCAAAACTAAAGGAATATGAGGCTATTTTGAGGGCAATATCTGTGGTACTACCTTTAGACAAACCATCACTTTCTGCTGGTGTTTCACAATCTGGCGGCAGCCATCCAGGTTGACATCTGCACTCCATTCTGTGGTCACAAACCTGTAACATATACACTTACATTAAATCTTCAAAATCAAGTTACAAATTCTGATGTATGTGTAACTTGTGAAAGACCTGAAATAGTCAAAAACAAATGACCTTTTGAAATAAAGCACTTATTTTCTTGCACTTCATTTTATGAAGACAATAAAGAAGTCAATGTTCGATAAAGGGATATTTTGGGTCATACCGCATGGCCTTTGCACTTGGCTGAGCAGTTTGTTGCTTTGTAAGCTGTCTCTAGGTCAACACACTCATTCTGGTTACAAACCTGAAAAAAACAAACACATCGTGCTTAAATGACTTGAATGTCACAACTGTAGCAAACCTACAATGTTTTCAGGTTTCTTTCATTACAGGTGATTAAAGGAGTTCATAGTTAGTAAATTACAAGGAAGTTTGTGTATAACTGGCGTGTATCTAGAGACCAGTCTTACCATCCCTTCCCCACATTTGGTGCCAGTGTCGACTTGGCCATAATCATTTTCAGGATCGCTGTGGAATGTGGCTTTACATTCTTTGACTTTTACCAGCCGTCCATAATTGGGACTTGCATTGCCATTTTCACAGAACAGTTTTCCACACATCACATCTCTGAAGACAGACAGATAAGATTGGTGTTTGATCAGACGGGACAAAAATAGTAATTGGACAGTATGATATGTGAAGAGATTAATGAATGGACAGATTGATGTAAAAACTTACTGTCTTTGGCATCCAATATATTTAACGCCATTATGTTTGCAGTAGGCGTAGTATTCTGCTCTTGTGTTGTAGTTGTTGCAAGATTCTCGAGCCACCACAGCAGCTTTATTTATTTTAATAAAAAGAAAAAATAGGCAAAGTCATATGGGCTTAACACTGATTATTTTTCACTATTATTGTGTTGCAACAATATATTATTGTACTCACTTGGACCCCACATTTTAATGCACTGCTCCTCTCTCTGTGGGCACTGGCCATTGTAGCAATAGCCTGTACCATTCTTGCAAGGGATTCCATTGACTGCAAAGACATCTTCAGGACACCAGGCTGATTTTCCAGTACATGACTCGGGCAAATCACAGTCATCATTTTTTGGATGACACACATGTGCGGCTGACATGATCTGAGGGGGAGGAATAAAAAACATGTAGGTTGCATACTTGTTGGTAGTTACCAGTATAAATGAATGAAACCATATGATAAAACACATTTTTTGAGATGTTGACATATCGGTTTCAAATTATTGAAAACAATGACATTATTTTGAATGTATTTATTTTCATATTAAAGCAGCACTATGTAACTTTTTCTGTGTTCAAAATTTGCAAAATGTATATATTGAGCGAGTACATCATGAATTCATCTTCCAAACCGCGTTTTTGTCTTATTCCAAATCACTACGGTACACTTATAAGTACTTATATTTGGATTATTGTAGCCTGGTCAGGTCGTCACCGCTGCGGAGTAACACATACCTGCGTGAATCGCCATAGACATAAACTTAGAGAAGTAGCTCCGGTTGAAATGTTCTTCCGCGGGATGTGTGCAGTTTTGTTTATTAACCGCTAGAGCGCCAAAAATTACATAGTGCTGCTTTAAGGGGATATATTTTGAACTATTTCGTTTCATCCCGTGGAGAACAGCGGATTAATTTTATTCTAATCGATATTCATGCGAGGGAACTCCTCAGTTATAAAGATTTTGACAAATATATGGGCTTTAGCGGTTTAAGAATTGTTGAAATGCATGGAGTGTGAGTGTATGCTGTAGTAGGCTATCATATGTCCTAAAGCAGCGGTGTTAACTGATACTTTCTTTATTGGATTAAAATGCCCCAGACTCTTGGAATCTTACCTTACAATTCTCACAACATTCTCCTGTTGCACATTGTGAGCCCTCTGTCAGTTTGCAGGTGGTTGCATTGCAGCATGGGTTTGTACACTCCTATGTAAAAACAGGTTTTGAAATAAAGACAACGAGTATGTTCTGGGCACATAATAAATTGTATTTTAAGTACTACTTCTGAGAATCTAGAAAAGCTCTTGGAAAGTAATTTACTTCAAGCAATGAATGAATGCACATCCAGGTAAAGTATGCTGTCCATCCTACACAAGTTCTGGCCAAAAAGAAGAGATGACTAACGTAGTGCAATGTATAAACAGATCTGCAGTAATATTACATGCATTCCATCTTTTATTTTGCACACTGCAGAGAGTGTAATTAAGATGATATAATTAAGATAAACGAGAGATTGGCAATCCCATCTCACTGGACAACATTCCTGTCAAGAATTGTCTTTACATTTGCTTCTGATAGTATGTGGATGTGACTTGTTGAGTGTATCTAGTAAAATTACCATCAATAAAGTCATGCATTTAATTTTTAGTCTCTTTACTTCCCATGTCATTCTAAAGGGCATTTTTATGTTTGGTGCTTTACTTTGATATTTGTTGCAAAAACATGTTTCAGATCATTGAATTGTCACATTTAGGAAAGAAACCCTAGTCTGCTTACCTTTACCGTTCCACAGTCACATTCTTCTCCTGTCTCCACAAATCCATTTCCACATACAGGTGGCTGAATCAATTCTTTTGGTTTGGGCATATTCAGAAGACATTCTGGGTTTTTGTTGTTCAGGTAGTCCACATAGTTACTAGTACTGCAGCTGCTGAAGTGTTGTGGGATGAAATAGCTGCGGAGACATGGAGCAGTGATATTTGTTCAGAACCTTTGTTTTAGGCTCTCCAAAAGCTTAAAAATAAAACTTTACAGTAGAAATGGAAGATTTGTTGTTAAAAAACATTTTAATAAACTAATCAAGTTCAACAATTATATGCATTAAGTACCTGAGGGCAGCTGTCATAATGCAAGTGCCATCAGAACAGACGCAGCTGCTGCTGTCGTGACTCATGCCCAGATTGTGCCCCATCTCATGGGCCATAGTAGCCCCCACTGATATAGCGTTAGAGTTGTGATCCTTTGAAGAGGAAAAATCAGTTAGTACTTAAACTATAGGTCCAGGCTTTTTTTTCATTCAAATGTTTATTTAGTCTATATTATAATGAAGTATTAGGATTATTTTGGGAGGAAGAATAAGGCATTGCAACAATAAGCGAAACACCACAGTCAAGACCATGGTGAATCATCAGTATGCTGTAGTAGAAAATATTTCCTCTTCCCCATTATTGTGAAATTATTCTCTTCAAGGTTTTTTGCTAAAACATGCAAATGTATTTGTTTGTAATTTCACTGCATTTGATGAATGAATTGATAAAACATCCCCAACCCATCTCCATACTGGCTTTCTGCATATATCCCTTTCCTTTATTGTGATCCTTTTCGATTATTTATTTTCATTCATGTTAGTTTCATTACATATTTTTGGCAAATATGTTTGTGACTTTTTATGAGAGAATAGTAGTACCTGCACAATCCCTGTTGAAAGACCTCCACACAGGGCTCCAGTGTGAGCTAGACCCACAGTTGCTCTGTCAAGGTCAATTGCACTGAGAGAAGGACAAAAATCCATGTTTAATCCAAATTCAACCAATCCTGCTTGATTATATTCAGTAAGTGGTTAAAGTCTGTCTCCTTCTGTTTCAGTTCCTAAACCATTTCAAAGTAGAACACAATGGCGCAGCTTGGAGCAGACAAAGTATTGATTAACTATATTGTTTGTTTTTTTCCCCCACATGTGAGCTGACCTGAGGAGGTGGGCATTGTCGTGCTGCTGTCTTTTGATGAGATCGCTGTTCCTCCACTGGGTAAATCTGTCCAAGGTTTCTCCAGCAAAAGGAGACACTGTTATCTTATCACTATCTGTCCAGACTTCAAATCCAGTTAGAGCAACAAATGTGTTGATTTCTTTATATACCTGCACACCAAAAAAAGAGTAAAAGATGAGTTTTGAAGAGTTCATTTGCAAAAACCGATAAACGCCACTTTCGAAAAAATGAGCTGATTTCCGTGCGTTATTCTCCACATATAGCGCGATCTGAACCCAAAACATGTTTTGTCAAAAAGCCGATTTTGTCCACTTTCAAGGCATCGCGAGTTCACGTTTTACTGCAGTGCAGAAGCCGACACCTTGTTTTTCTGTTTTTGAACAGAAGCCGATAAGTCCATTTTAGCGAATCAGCGCGCTGTATTCAGGTCAGGTGACAAGGCTACTTTCACTTTGAAAAGACGTGCTAGCTGCTCAAAGCTGACTAAAAGTGGTCGAGGATGGATAATTTCGACGAATTTGATGAACCTGTGATATCTTCTTCAGGGCGAAAAAGGAAATAAAAGCTGAAACGTTTTCACGGAACCTTGCAAAAGCAGCGCGTTATACAATGGTGAGGGCATCCATACAGTTTATGATCACAACAACAACAACGTTTGTCAGGCATCTACATTACAAAGATTAAACGAGTGTTTTTTTAAACTCTAAAATATGAAATGTTGAGTTATCTGCTTTTGCCAAAAAACGACTGTTGGAGTTATCTGCTTTTGCTATAAAACAAACTTTTAATATGTAAA